AACAGCAGCGCAGAGCTGATATTTACCCCCTGTCCTGTTGCCTAGTTAGGGACACAATGGAGGATGAGACAGCCGGGGGGCTCGGGTGGATGTTGTTTTGTCAACCCTCCCCACCTAGTTGCGCCCTCCTTACCCCTCCAAACCAATTTATGCATCTTCCCTCCAGTCTTCTTCTACTCCCTGTCTCTGTTTGGCTCGACCTTCCCTTTCAGAGTGTCCAGTTCATCCTGCCACAAAGAGCCTCCATTCTCTCCTGAGAGGAGGCTGCCAGTCCCGCACTGTAACCCAATCACCGATCTAACAGAAGAGTGTGTCATCTCCACAGAGTAACAGGAAGTCTCGCGCACAAGACAGATCTCCGTCTCTCTGCTTCTGTCTTCCTCGCATTCACACTTACACACCAGAGGGCACAAATGCCACTTTCAAACACAAATTGCCGACATCACGGACAAAACAGCACGACATTGGATTTTGGGGACTTTAAAGGACAAGCCTGACAATATTCTATATTTTTCTTATTGTCAAAAAAATCTAATGAAAGGACATATAAAAAACAATAAATGGACCTGATAAAAGGTATTATCTGTGTAGTTTAAGTTTCCTCTGTGCCATAGATGCTCTATGCTAGCTGTGCTATTGTTGTCGCTATTTGTTCTTCATTATAATGATTACAGGCACTGTAGTTTATTTTGAATCAATCCCAGATACACAGTCCCGGTCTTGGTCTTCTCATCAGACCTGTTGATAATATAGACCAGTGGGCCTTATCCTTTAAATCTGCTTAAAACTCCACTTTATCTGCTTGATATATAGTATCAGTGAGAATAGTGATAGCGATTCTTCTCCAACAACAGCTAAAAGTTCAAATAAATGCATACACACACAAGCACTTGCACACACATGCGCATGTGTGAGTATCATTCACTGACCTTCAGCAAGACAAACTTAATCTCCCACTGCTTCTTCCAACCTAAGTCCAGCTTTGGCTCTGTTGCAGGTTTCCTCAAACTGAGGTCATGGGCACATTCTTGGAGATGTTCCACTGAGTTCACCAAGTAAGTGTGATTAGAGCTGGATATCAATAAACAATATCCACATCCATGTTGCACTACTATCTCCTTGCAATAATCATAATTACAGGACTTTTTAGAAAAGCAATAACCTTAAATTTGTCTTGTAGGATGACAGCTCTGGGTTCAAAGGTCGACATTTTCATACCTGGAAAGAATGTATTTTCTAAACAAAGCCTGGACACAGGAGAGGAACTAATCTCCCCATGAGGAAGTGTATACATTAGGCAAACATGATTGAAATAGTTTGGGATTTACATATCCCTTTTCTCATTAGTGGTATTGAGTGACTGGATATTGAATAACAAACACGCTGAAAGTGGGTTTGCGAACCTCAAAGGGTCTGAGCTCGATTCTTGCAGTCTGTTAAGGCCTAAAGTTAGTGCTTTTGGGTCAGCTACAAAGGCAGTCTCACTGAACCCCCCCGATGTTGGCTTTGGACCTATAGTTCCTTCCTGTTCATGGAAATTCTTCCACAAATGAAAAATGTTTCAGTTGTGCGGAAAAAAAAAAGAGAAAAAAAGTCGGATTGTGCTGAGCTTTGATAGCTGACGATGCAAATTTATATCCAAGCAATGTGTTCAGCCTGAATTAATTTAATGTCTCAAAACGTGCGTTCAAAAAAGAGGTGGAAAAAAGAATAATGGTCATTTAAGAAGACAATATCTCCATGTGAAAAGAACACATGTTGCTGGACAACCATTTAAATACCCACGTATTTGCAGCTGAATAAGTATTCATGCCCATTTAATGCTAAGGTTTCCCAAATCCAAACACGCCTTATAATGTCAAGACAGCAGACAGTGCCACTTTGTCGTGACCATGCTGACCAGTGTCCATTGTGAAGATATGGTGACCTCTGCTGGACATGAGCGTTCATGGCTCTTGAAACTCGACTCTCAAAACAATTCAAAACCTTTTCCAGCTGCTATCTAACTTGACATAGTATGGAAACACAGGTGATACTACTACTACTACTACTACCATAATAATAATAATAATAATAATAATAATATTAGTAGTAATAATAGTGATGATGATAATTACTCAAGTGTGCCAATAATCCATGACATTGTGACAGTGAGCCAGCATGAACAATATCAGGGGCCTGAAAGTAAAGTATTATTCAGCCATTATTATTTTATTATTTAAACCTGTACTTTTCAGTTGTGTAAAATTATCCCACGTGTTGCCAGTGTAGCTTGTAGATTTCTGGACTACTATCCAAAAAATGTGACTTATCTTCTTTCTTTTTTTTTACTTGTTAAAGGCAGAATTATAGTTAAAATGATCATTTCAATAATTTCAAGACAGTTTCTTTGTGTGTTATAGGCTTAACGCTCTGCTAACTGCCATAAACAATGATACAGATTTGCTCATACACAGTAAAGTACAGCACAGATAGGACTGTGGGTGTAACTCATTTTCACCATAAGATTAAAATGATCTTTAATTTCTCCATTAAAGGCTTGTACGTGATATCCACCCTGCAAAGTGTCTATTTCGACATTAAAAAAGAGAAGACATGAAGTGTAGTAAATTATGTTTGAGGTGTTTGTGAGGAGAACTGTGAGTTTGCTGCTCTGTGTTCACGTCCCTCACCACTAGATGCCGCTCCTGTAACATTACCAACTGCATGAGCTCAAAGGAAACTTGCTACAGCAGCACTGTGTCATCTCTTGCAGAATAGTGTCTTTTTCTGCTCCAGCTGGCACTGACACAAATTGGCACAAACTACCTGTTGTCTTATTTGCGAAATACGCAAGAAAACAGAGTTCAGCTCATTGCGGGAAAGCCAGTCCCCCCCTCCTCCCTCCCTCCCTCCCTCCCTCCCCCACAAACCCTATCATTTTGTTGACATGCCATGTTTTGATTAATGGCTCCTCATTTTTCGGAGCAGTCATGATGCACATTGGACTTTTGCGAGTAGTTTTCCCTGGGTGCCACAGTTGAAGTGGATGGCACGAGAGAGGAAGCAGACTGAGTGCGAGACGGCAGCTCATTAGCCGCCCCGGGTCCAGCAGAGTGGCTGGTTTGTCCCAGGAGAGCGCTTCAGAGTTCTGGGAAACTCACCAACGCGCCAACAGCTGCAACTCGACATGAACCTGATGAAAACTCTTCCTCTCCTCTCTTTGTCTCTTTCTTCATCTAAGCACTTGTTTGTCTTCCCTCCAAGACAGACCGGGCCTGGATCTCCATCCGTCTGTACTCACAACCTTTTTTTGGGTGGGTGGGTGGGTGGGGGGGTTAACTGAATAAAAGGAGTCCTATAGATCAAGAGATCACTGTCAGCCATTCTCTCAGTGTCAGCTATGTGCAAATGTTCATGAGTGTGTGATTGTGCAAGTTTGGGTGTGTATGTGATAAGGGGGATGGTGCTTATCCCTGAACTTTTCAACAGTTTCTTGTGGAGTTTTCTTTTTCTTCTTGCAATTCTAAATGTAGAAGCACCTGATTTCAATCGAGGTTTATGATTTCTTCTTTTCTTTCAACCTATTAAAGTATTTGCGTCTCATTGAATTAAAGCATTTTATGGCTACACATTTAAATATCACAATGCTCTCTATGTTGGATACAGTAGTTGTCTTCTTGTTTGCTTCATGGCAATGCTACAGCAGCATCTGCACTAAATCAGAGCAAAGAAAATTTAATATAAGACTTCCAAAAATATATGAAGCAGTATGGAATAAAAGGAATAAAACTGTGACCTGGGCCCTTCCAAAACGCACGCTGGGAGTTGGGTTACATGCACAAATGACACAAATCCGATTTTTTTTATTGGGTTTCCACAGCACATGAATGCTGCGGCTACTGGCCACATCTCTTTTTAAACCGTCGAGGTTCATAGGAGCTGCTCACTGCACATTTCAAGTCACGGTGACAACCTGCGCTCTGCGGCTTCACGCATGAAGCTAACACACAATGACATGCTGCTAAATCAGTGGAATAGTAATGAGTTTAAGTTTAACACAAGGAGAGAGAAAGAAAAAAAAAAGACAGTGTTACCAAACTTTTATCTGAAAGGCAAACATTTGAAAGCACAAACATACCAATAAATAGATCTGCAATATAGAGTCATCCTGCTGCACATGTGGGCCTTATGATGCTCTGATATATTCAAGTCTAAGCAGCAAAACAGATAACACTCAACTGCACTCTAATACCTGTCAAATACCTCGATACATGCAGATGAGAATAGTAAACAGACTGCTATTGTATATCACACATGGGGTGGGCTGGCAAAACCATATTGTACATCAGTGAGGTTTTGTGCTCAACCCTAATGTTTACTGATACACTGTCCAATCATCAACAGTAGCTATGACAAGTGCTGGAGTTTGTAAAAAAAAAAAAAAGAAAAAAAAAGAAATCAGCAACGTTAAAATCCAATATATATGAAGACAAGCGGTTACACTCATTGTAAACATGCCATCATATAGACTTCAGCAAAAACAAACAAACAAACATGCACATAACAAAATATAGTTTTAAAGTTCATTGTCATGGGGCCACAGATGCAAACCATTTTTTCAAAGAAGAGGACTGGAGAAGAGGGGTCTCTCTGTCTTCAGGTTCTTCAGGGTCTTCAAGGTGGGAGTGGGTGGTGAGGGGGCGGGGGGGCGGGGGGGGGACTGGAGCTGGCTCCTATGCTGTGGCTCCACAAAGTCTTACAGTGGTTGAGATGTCTTGGTCCTCTGATCTGCCTGTCATCATGAATGGCCAGGTCTGTTGAAGCAGAAGACAGAGCAGGTTCATCAGTGAAGTGACACACATCCAACACATCCGTCCAGAATCACCATGAATTACAGCACTGTGTCGAAATTTAACTTTTTATTTGATAATCTGCATTCTTGTTATGTTTTTTTTTTTTTTTTTTTTTAATCCTGAACAAACTATGCAAACAAAAGTAAACAAAAAGAAGTTGTATCTTCATACCAGACTGACTGGGTGCCCAAAGCTGTTCTCGAATCGGTCATCCTGCAGAAGCTGCCTCAGGTGAGATATGTAGCTCGAGGCGAGTCGGAGCGTGTCCAGTTTGGACAGTTTGGTGTCCGCTGGTACCCAGGGCAGGCTGGTTTTTAGTCTGGAGAAAGCTTTGCTCAGCACTCTCATCCGCGCCCTCTCCCTGGCGTTGGCCGCGTTTCTCTGCGACTGTCGCGCCTCCTTCTGTTGCGCCCTGGACAGCCTGCGCTCCTGCTTGACCCTCCCGTCCGCACCTTCGTCCTCCAGCTCCTCGTCCGAATATGGGCTGGGATCATAGCAGGTGATCTTCCGCGCGCTCCTCTCCAAAGGGTTCGCTGTCCTTCTGTAACACGTCTCATAGTCCTCAGCATCGCTTGCTGCAGAGCCAGTGGACATGGCTGCTCCACCTGTGCCTTGGAGGCGGAACAGGAGTAGCACTTTGGGGCACAGCAGTGACAGAAAAACTAGATTCTCAGCTTGATATGACTTGAGTAAATAACAAAAGCTTTTAGGTCAGCAGTCTATGAGACCTTTTAAATCATTCCCATTTAGTAAACCAACAAGTTATTTCAGCCTGAAGCCCTAAAATGTCACTACTTGACAGGACTACAATGCCAACTGCATGGGGGCAAGTCTCGAAATTGCAGCTCTCCCTAAAACTCAAACGTGCCTCTTTGCTTAGCTACCCCTCTAATTTAAGTGTCCTGGACTTGGCATCTGTACAGTTTCATCGGAACATTTCTCCTCCCCCTTTTTTCTCCAAGCCACCATGACCTCAGTGAGACCACAACTCTGTTTCCCTGTGTAAACTGTTAAAGACTTAACTTGCTCATCTGGACCTTGATAATCACATAAAGCCCTTTGCATGAATGGTTTATTGTAGGTAAATATAGTGGGGGTGTAATGGAAGTGCAAAATGATGTCTGAGGATTGATTGTTTCAAACAGAGGTATTCCCTCTAGTGTGGTACCGCAGTGGGCCATAACTGTCCAGATGATAATACATACAACCCATTGCAACATTTTGGAAATGCACATATAGAGTAAACATTTCCCAGGTTTGTCGGTCCCACAGATGTGTTTTGGTAATAGAAATGTCTTGAGGACCTTATCAAAAGTGCCTAATCCTTCGCTGCTTTCACAGAGGGATTGGGTTTCTGCAGATGGAGCAGCCTTTCACACGCAGCCTGAGTGCACCAGCCCCAGCTGTTATCGGTTCCCATGACATCTGGAGCGTTGGCATGAGAAGGGTGTGGCAGGAGAGAGGAGGCAACCATCTTCATTCCCATAGTATCACAAGTGTTTTTTTTTTTTGTTTTGTTTTTTTTTTTTTTTACTATGCATCTCGGATATTTTTCCATTTGTTTGGTGTCCTCCAAACTTTTCGGAGAGCACAGAGACAGAGACAGGGTGGTGTATTTGACTGTGGGTTGAGATCAAGAGCTAACAGAGGAGAGAGGGGAGGCTGAGAAGCTACAGGAATTCAAAATGTGTTTGCAGACATTACCATACTTCCTGGAAAGTTTCAGAGAAAGTAATACCAGCCGTACCAAATACAAACCTTCAGACAGAATATCTATTGTCGGTCAGATTTGTAAATATCACAAAATAAAACACAGTCACTGCGCAAAAATACCCCAGAATCTAGGGATGTAGTTGCCTGGATATGCCAAACTATGACCCCATATATGATGGAATGTGGACTGGACATGCTCTGATAATGGCAATGTAAGATGTCATATCAAAAGATCCAGATTTGGGGTTTCGGTGCAGTGAGTGGACACATTGCAAACCAGATTCAGACAATGGAAAGTTCTGTGTCCATATAGCACTTGCAGGAATCCCTCCTCTACTTTCTCAACATATTCCCAGAAAATCCCAGGTCCCTGTTTGCTATTACTCCATATAATATGTGTGAAATTTAGATTTTTTTATGACAATAGCAAGACTCTGCCAAGGATTACCTAACTGCAGCTGAGATGCATGCTTGATTTTTTTGGTAGCTGGCCATGCCAGGGTCACTAGAGGGAGGAATTACTGTACTCTGCACCGGCCTGAATGGTGTACTGTACTCCCAACAGTTCCCAGGGTGGTGTGTAATTTAAAGCAGCACACTAGCTTCAATCTCACTTTACCAAGCAATTGTTGAGTTTAGATGTTGAGTTCAAGTTAAGTTTAGATGTTAAGTTTTTAACGATGATGTGTTCCGATTCTGTTTTTCAGCGTCAGATGCATTTCGCTGTGGTTTCGAAGCGCTCTGTGGTTTTCCACTGCTCGGATTTCCCCCCTCTCCTACACACCAAGAATGCTCCTTAATCCAAGGACACATTCCCAATACTTCCCACAATCCTGCTCTTCCACGCAGTTTTCACAAAACCCAACATCAGCTGCACCTCTGAGGGATCCCTGCTCTTAACTCAGCTTTGGATGTGTCACGAGGTTGAGATATTGAGTTCCGCTTGTGCCGGTAAGACAGTCAGAGCTTGAAGGCAGGCTGCCATCTCATCCCCCGTCACTGCATCAGTCAGCGAGGGGAACGTCCTGACTGACACACTTGAAAGTGCAAGCTAAGGGATTCTGCTGTCGGATTTACTCCCCACTTGATAAACTGTCAGTTTTTTTTTTTTTACGTAACATGAAAAGGTATTGGCTGGGTGACATATTTCAACCTGCTTCTTCATTCACTGTCAAGGAAAGCAGTTTGACATAAAACACTCTGCTCATTAGTCATTCTATAGATGTAGCTCCTCAAGTAAAAGCAAAAAATGTTTTCCAAAACATCAGTGTAATTGATGGTTACATGGTTATTGTATTTGCCCTGGGAGTAATTAAATTCAGGGCCAACAGTAATAAATATCACTTGAAACTTGACATGAAGGGAGAGCGAGCGTTTGTCTATCAGCAGAGACTTTCAGGGGTCACGACCTCCACTGGGGGCCCTGTGCTAGAGAAGCAGAGGGACAGGTGCAGGCTCATGATGTCAGAGGCCTTTCTCTGTTTCTCTCCCAACGTCTTATGATTCCCATGATCGCTACCGAAGCAACAAAAAGCTGGTGTGTGACGCCAGAGAAGAAGGCAGTGCACAAATCAGTGGCAATAATTCATCAACCATTGCCAAGTTTTTATTTTTTATTTTTTTATCATTAATATTGTGTTATGCACACAACTGTGACCAGTCTGCGCGGCTTCTAAGAAACCACAAAATAATGTTGACCAGATTCAGGATGCAGTGCGTGCTACAGGTGAATATTGCTGTACAAAGAGTACAAATAAATAACCAGTTCATAGAATTTGCATAATAAGATTTTCTCACCTTTACGTCTACACCAAAATACATCTGTCAGTTTAACGAAAAGTTTTGAAATCATTCGCATCACCAAACGTGCGGTACACATCTTTTTTCTAGCCGCAAGGGAAATTCTTGAAAGGCGCCAAACCATCATAAACATCATATTTGAGAATATTAATTTGAGAGTGCAGACAACTCAGACCTGAGCAGCAGAGTCTCTTTTGAGAAAATGGTGATACACACTGAGGACAATTGCTGTTTTTTTTTTTTAATAGACATTTTGCAAATATCATGCCACGCCAACTCATCCACACATTAGAGATTTCCTTTGAGTCTGTTTTGCAAGTGTGTCTCAACTAACAAACTGAAAACTGATACACAACCTCAGTTTCATGTATGAAAATGTAAAAGAAAACAAAATAACACACATGCATGCACTGTTTTACATTTAAAGACATGTTTAATGATAAGATGGAAGTAAAAGGAGAGGTGGCGTGTCACATGCAGTATTTCACAGAAAGGCACAATACGAGAAACAGCTCCTTTTATGCGCAGTAGATGTAAAGCAACACACCGCAAAATGACACTCATTTATCAGTGGGTCACAGGTGGGAAATGGGATAACTGAATTGAACATTTTCCAGTAACATTACTACTATAGACTTTAAACAGTATTCAACCGTTAATGCTTTCAAACCACACAATAGTTACTCAATTAATTGCACTTAATTGAAATGAACTGCTTGAATATATGTAAACGGTAAACACATTTAAGCTTCACACATTAGAAAGACAAAGGCCACCTCTTTATTTAATGAGCTACATTGTGTAGTATTCATATTATAATGCCATGATTACATATACCTGTAAAATGTAGTGAATATTCACTTTGTAAAATCATATAATTGTTGCTACGTTTAGACGTGTTGTTCATCTCATTCTCTTCATTTTCTTTTGGCCTCGATGGCCTTCATCAGCGGGACCCACTGAGACGCGCCCTGTCTCTTTGGTTTAGCCCGACTCACGCTCTGCCACATGCTGCCTTTCAAGTTGACGGGGCCGTCGTACTCGTCGGCCTCTGAGGTGATCTCCATCTTCTGGATGATGAGCTTCACGAGGTTGTGCTGCTTCTCGAGCAGGCTCGACATTTCTTTCATCCTGGAGGGGGGAACAACATCAGTTCCCGATAGCTCAGTGGGAGACTTTTATTTGAGTAGATTTCTAATCAAGCTTTTGGAGGATGATGATCCAGAGTGGAGCTTATCATCACATCTTTCTTTGACCTGGTCACAGGCTTTATTTATTTCTCTCCACTAGGGGCTGCTCATGCATCAAAAACAACTATTAAATTGTCCTTTACCACCTTGACTTTCCACACTGTTTACTGTGCACCATGCATGAGATCATGAACCATTTTCAGTTGCATACCTTATTGTAATTCATTGTATTTATTGTCTATAATCTCAAAGGTAATTCTGCTTGCATATAATCACCATGTGCACCGCTGTGTGTTTTACCTGGACTTCTGCTTTATGAGCTCAGTCTCTATCACAGTGGAGCTCTGTGATTTGGCCTGAAGACGTCTCCAGACTTCATCTGTTCCCTCAACACCTGAGATTAATTGCCTTATATAGTGCTGTAAAACAAAAAGTTGTTTAGGACAAATAACGGGAAAATATTTCACTGACATAAGTTGCAAAGACAAATGCGATATGTTGTGCGGTATATGTTTTTTTTACCCTGGAGCACTTGTGATTGGGGTAGATGGTTATGGAGGGTTTGTCAACTCGCTTCATGAACCAATAAGGCAGCTTATCTTCCAGAGCGGTGTGGAGGTCAATCTGGGGTCAATAAGTGAGATCTTCAGTCATATGTGAGATTTTCTAGAGACATCTTCTTCCTGTTGGACCTGAAAGTTCTACATTCTCAAGCCAAACGAATCTGTCACATTATCCACTTCTTGTAATAAATTGTAAAGGCTGCAATATAAAATAGGCGTAAAGCTTTAACAGGGTTTTGCTGCATATTTTGAATAGAAGTCTTTCATCATATTATCTGTGGAACCAAGTCTACATCTACTATCGTCCACTGTGCTTGTGTTTCAGATTCTTCTTTCTTGTTTGGTTGTCTGTCCGTCATGATGAATCACGGCAGAATGAGCAAGCACAGAGAAAGCGGGATAAAAGCTGTAACGTCCTCCATGTTTTTCAAAGGCAACATATATTCAAAAACTAGTCTAGGCACACACACAAGCTGGTTGCATACACACCTGCATGGCTATTCTTTTGAGGGCAGCGTTTCTTTGTACTTCGGCAATGTCTCCAACTGCTAAACCAATCTACACAGCCAAAGACAAATGAGAACCATCGAATAAATAAAATAATAGCATTTATATTTAAGTAGATGCCTGGGAGGAAATGAAAATGGCATCAAAGAGCTGACACTGATTTTCTTAATACCCTTTAAAAGCGATACACACATATGTTTAGCGGTAGAACCACCGTCTCTCAGGACATGCTTACCATCAGGTTCACCAGCAGTATTGGCATGAGCAGCACAAATTGCACAAAAATGAAGTAAGTCAGGAAACCAAAAGGAAGCTTATTGCTCAGGTAAGCGTCCAGGAAGTTATTCTGGTAGTTCAGTTCCCCGACCATCATCACGAAGGTCTGCATCACTGAGAGCGGCACACTCTCAAACTCTTTCTGAGGGGGAAAAACAGAAAGTCAGACGTACGACATTGTTAAATAATGTCCACTGTGTCCATATGCCCAGAAGACATGTCTCGCCTATGTTCCACATTTTTAATGTTTCAGTCAAGTCAGTGAATAGATTAAGTTAAGCACATATCATGCATAAACTATCTAACACACAAGACGTGTGCGACAACGTGGTTTTGCTTTCAGTGGAGACAGAACATTACGGTGAGGCTTAAAGATGGTGATGTCAGATGTTTATTTAGTCATTTGGTCAGTCTCGAAAAAAATAGATAGATAGATAGATAGATAGATAGACAGACAGACAGATAGATAGATGGATGACATATGTGTGACCTATAAGGGGATATATTATTATCACATATATGAAATTTATAACATATATGAAATATCCATAGTAAAATTTGTATATGTACATATATCAAAATATCTATGATGAATTAACATGTTGTGAGCATATATGTTAAGGATATATATTTAATTCATATATGCATGGCCCATGGAGGAGGATTTGGATTGGTTTTTGTGATCTTGTGGCGTCTACTTTGGATACGGTGAAACAGCTCCATCATCCCGTTAAAACTTCAAACTACAGATTGAAATAAAGAAAATATAACGTGTTTATTAGTGTGCTTTAGAGGTGGCTACTTGTCCAGACAGAGGCTGCTCATTTCCCCTGTATTCAGTCCTTGCGCTAAGCTAAGCTAAGCTAAGCTAAGCTAAGCTAAGCTAAATTAAGCTAAGCTAACTGGCAGCTGCCTGTAGCTTCATATTTACCGTACAAACATGAGAGTGGTATCTTTTTTCTTTTCCAACTGAAATGAATGGTTTGCTTAAAAAATGTGCTGAGCTCATTCACGCCAACAGAGGATAACGCCTTTTGTTATTAATGACAAATGGCCTTTTTTATCCACCAACAGTATAAAATCTTTCACTCTAGTTGGAAAAGATGACAGCAAGACAGCCAAAACAATACAAAACAGACTGCCGGTAATAAAATAAAGCCAGAAGCAGACAAGAAACATATTAATAAACAATGGAGTCATTTTGATTTGTGAAACCTTGGAAGCACTGCAGCCTCTTCAGCCCACTTCTCCTACCTGATTGAGCATCAAAGCATGGAACGCCAATCCGAATGCCAACATCAGGTAAATGAACAGCATTACAATACGGACCAGTGTCCTCAGGATCTCTCCAAACATCACAACATAGATGCCAACACCCTCAAACCTGAAGGAATAGGAGATTATACCAGTTACTGTGCTTTTGCGGCACGAAATAAACACATTGTATTGAAATGGGTGTCAGAGTGAACACTACCTCTGGAGATAAAGGAGAAACGCAACCCAGGAGTTTAAAACTGCCAGTGCCCCTGCCTGCCAATGTAAAGAACTCTCTACATTGAGCATGACGGGGATGATGAACAGAAGAGAGCAGATGGCTGAAAACCAGTCACACTGGTTGGAATAATCCTTTAAGTAATTCCAGCGCTTTTAAGTGACAAGAAAAGAAAAATTAGCAAAAATGCAAAAAAAATTCTCACGCAAATCCTCCTCGACCCGAGTTGCTGTATATTATTTAACATATACTGTCATGCGCCAGAGTTTCTGGTGCTATAATCAAAATGACTAAGGTAGTGTGTGGAGGGAGTTGACATCCAGTTATCCTGTAAATCTAAATCAGAGGGCGCTCATTCATCACACCCGATCACCAGTGTTGTCCACACATACCTGACACCGACCAGATTTATGAGCAATGTGCATTACGTGAGGTAATGACACTTGTGTAACGGTACCTGTTGTGATATCTGTAGCACTTCCTTCACTATGCAATACAAGTTCATGACCAATACCATCACCATGCAGAAGGACAGGAACAGACTTTGCTGTGAAATGACAAAATTGGGATTTAATTTACTACTAGTTATGGTGAGCCTTTGTCACTGCACTGTAAAGGGAACGTTCCGTAATTCTGATCACCACTGTCATTCGTACCTCTATGAAAGATATGGGCACCATTGTGATTGTGTGCTCGCCTGTTTCAGTGGTGTTCATAGTGGGCCTCAGAGCCACTATCAGGTGAGTCAGCGGCAGCAGGCCTAACAGGTACAAAAACATGTTGAGCACATGAGCCGTGCTCCCGTATGCAACCCTGCGGATTCAAACAAAGACGGAGATATCATAAGACTGATACTCAAAGCGAATAATGCATTGGTATTTTGGCATACTTCTTGCAATCTGATCTAAGCTATAAATCTCAGGGGTTAAATCACAATGGATACACACCACTTCATTGCCAGGTACTTTTTGCAGACGGGGTGGTTGAGGAGCTCGATGCGGTTGTACCGCACCATCGCCTGCAAAAGGAGTAAGGAGAGAAATAGTCCAGCGTTACTGGCATATTTTCTACAAGCAGGAAAGAAGAGGCTGACAGCTAAAGCCCATAAGATTTAAAAGTATGTGCATATCATTGTACTCCACAGGAATAATGTGGGATTACCTCAGCCTCAGAAACGTGCAATGAAGTATTTCTAATATTTGGTGGAAGATGACATTGTTTCTATCAAATATATCAAATAATACAGGCCCACTGTTAAAAGGTTGAAGATTAAAGATTAAAATTTGCATGCAGATTGAACCTAGTTTTGAACTAATTGTAGGATTAAAAAAAATGCACCATTCACATATTCACATATGAATTTACACGAGAAAAATGAGTTGCTTTTGAACTTTAGATTCATTAAGTGGTAACATTGCTTACATCTTCACCCTTTCAGCTGCCACTTTTCCAAATGGAAGAATGGCCAAAAACAACACTGCCTGTCACACACACAGTGCTCAGTAAATTATGAGGTGACATTGTGGCCATGCCTCTTCTTCCCATGAACCCGTCCCCCTGATGCATCCGCTGCTGACACTCAACAGCAGGGCATGCTAAGAGGTGTTGACCGAGGCGACCGACCGCGATGGGGGAAACTCATAAGGCATTTAGCAGCTTGTCCGTAAACATGTACACCTATAATGGCGAGAAACAACTTGGCTTCACAGCTTATTCCCACCTGGCCCGCCTTGGGGCTAAAGAAGGCAAGCTAGAAAGACTGAGCAAATAACGGACCTACACCCTTTGTCAATTTGACTCAAAGCATCCTTTGTTAATATATTTGTCATCAATACACAGCAAATTTGGTTGCCAACATTAACAAACAGGAATGATAAATCTGAGGACAAAATGAAGTAGGAATTTGGATTTGACAAAGCAATGAAGTCGTATTTTTTATTATCGGCTGTCAGAAGGTGTAACAGAGGGGCAGGGCTTGGGACAGCCACACCACTGCACCTCGCTAACCAGTGCAGGGAAAGTAAAACATCTTTTGTAGTTATCACTGTCACAGTAAAAGTAGATGGAGAAAAGTGTCACCACTCTCCCCTATAGATGATTGGATCAGCCAATACATATAAAATCTGAGCCCATGGTAACAAGAAGGTGAGTGGTTAAGTCTACAGAGCTTCATTAGGGGGCAATGCATGGCTATAATAAAACTTTACTACTTGCTAATCATGGTGGAGTATTTAAATTCATATTCTAGAAATAAAGTTTCTTACATTGAGAGCAGGTAGTGGCTGATACGTCATGGCCTTGTCGGTTAACTTCTTCGCTGTAAGGGGAGCCTGGAGCCATCGGAAATTATATTCAATCTACACCACATAAAGAAGAGCTCTTTTTTTTTGGCTGGCAGATACAGTACATTATACAATATGTATATATCGTAGGTGTGTTGTGATGTTTTGATTGAGTGAGTTGCAGCTGAATTACGTGGTAGTCGGGACTGTTGTGGTCATCATCAGATTCCCTAACACAGCGGTCCAATAGGTGCTATTGAGGAAAATGGAAAAACACATAGAGACACAGGGTATACAGTGTATGTAACAGGGAACGACAGAAAGAGATGAGTTATGATGAGTCCTGTGCACACAGATTATATGATATGAATGTTTTATTTTCTTCGCCAGTGGCAAACCTTGTAGGTCTCAGGCAGAAACTCAATCATGTCTAGAATGGGACATCGCTGGCTTCCTCCAGGTATGAACAGTCCCAAAGCCTCAGCACATCTGGAAGAAGAAATACACAAATGAGCCTTAAGACCACTTTGGTTGTGACTTTTTTTTTTTCAAAAAATAAATAAATCCTGGCAGGAATCCACACTACCTCTCCCAGAATTTGAAAGATGGTATGGTCACATTAAACCTAAAGCTGTATCTTTCCTCTACAGAACAGACACTTGTAATGATAATGTACCTGTCGCTGTCAATTACAGCATTGACCACGTCTTTCCTCCCGTTCTGCAGAGCTTCATGGAGGAACGATGTGTCGTTCTTGTTTAAGATGAGCTCTGCTCCCCGAGCCAGCATGACTTTGACTGCAGCCACGTGTCCCTCTTTTGCTGCGATGTGGAGTGCAGTGCTCTGGTATATCAACAGATAACAGGACACGGTACTCTGCATTAATATAGAACACTTATTCAATGCTTCTTGCAGTTATCAGAGCCCTGGTGTTCAACATTTTTCCTTTTTAACTTAACTAGTCATGAACTGCAAAAGTAAATTTTACGTAAAATGAATTATGGGGTTAGATAAAATAGAACTTTTTGAAATAATGGTAATTCATACCCCATCCTCATCGGTTTTATCCAGTAACTTGAGATTGGCTGACAGGAGAATGTCCATAGTTTGTGTGTATCCTTCAGATGCAGCATGGTGCAGACTGGTCCAGCCCTTATAATCACTGAAAACAAGCCATACCCAACTAACATCAGTCACATGTATGAGAACTGTATACAGATTTGAATCCTGCAAATTGCAAGTACTGCAGGGATTGCAAGTATAGCTAAACAGTACTTAGATGATAGCAGTGCACTTTTGAATGTATATGTGTTTTTCTTATGTATGTATGTGTTTTCTCTGTATGTGTGCGTTTGGATTTACCTGTGAAAGAGAGCTCCCTTGCTCAGCAGCAGCTGCACCACCTTGGTGTGACCCCCTCTTGAAGCCAAATGAAGTGGTGTCAGGCCTCGCTCATCACCTTCATTCAGCAAACGAGAGTCTTTGATGGACTCTAGTAATCGGTGACATGTATTGATGCGCCCATACCTTAAAGAGAAGACGGACAAGGAGAAGCATTAGGTTGTTGCAGAACATTTTTCTCAATGTTATGATGTGTTCATCTCTGAAACGGAAGAAGATTCTCGCTCAAGGCCAACAACACAGCGAGGTCAGAGGATGAGGGGGCAGTTAAGATTACAGTTCCTCTTGGAGAGTTTGCTTTAGGACACTTAAGATTGCTGCTACAGGGCTTGAACCTGTTGGGTTAAAAACGTTATGAGGAGTATTAGTGACCAAGTGTGCTGCAAGCCGCGAGAAGACATAAACAGAAGTGACATATTAGCTTGCACTATGATCTCTCTTCGTCTCCCAGCCTTTTAAGAAGGTCACCAGCACTTTGTGTGGGTGCGGTGGGACAGGTGGAGAAAGAGAATGAGGTGTCTACATGAGTCAAAGTATGATATCATAGCGTGGACTTCATTTGCACTCTAGCTCTAATGAAATGGGTGTACATGATGGAAAAAAAAAAAAAAAATCAATAACAATAATGTTGAATGTCCGCTCGTTTCGCACTATTAGCAACATTTCTTCACATGTGCCTCGCTAATTGAATTCTATTCTTGCGACAATTGCTTTAGGTCACTGTATAATAGGTGTGCCACGGCAATTCATCTTCAAAAAAAACAGGAGGAGAGCTTCTGAGTGCAGACATTTCTCACAGGATTAAAGCAGCAGATCGGTGAGGTAACAGTTTTAAACGCAGTTACATTGTTCATTTTTCATCGGATCGCTATTGTTCAATTACACAGATAAGCCTTGGCTTTAGGGAGATCGTAAGTCAAAGTCCTTTTACAGCCATTTTTGATTCATGTTTTATACTCGTGTGATATCATTGATCAGTGCACAACACTTGCCGCAGAGTAACTAGAAGAAGAACGTCTAAAGCTGCATGTCAAACTGGAACAAAGTTATTTTCAAAATCAAATTATGAATACTGTAATGTAGAAAGTAATGGCTCCAGAGTGTGAACAGTAATACAGTTGGGATATATTGGGAAACATTGTTGTGGGTGTGAATATTAGAGTTTGTGCAAACTGAATGCTGTAGCTTTGAAATAATGTAACAAATATCAAAATAATTTCAAGGTGGTTAGATAACTCAGCTGAACCCCCTCGTTGGCTGCAGCTGGCGTGGGAGCTATGAGACCCGTATAGTCTGGGTGAATGATGCCGTCTCCAGTGGCTTTAGATAAATCTCTTTATAGTAGAAGCATCATTATACATAGCTTGGCCAGAATCTGGAAGAAAAAGATACATTTCAGTAACAGGTTGCTCTCGTTCCTGTTGTCGATTCCACCATCCCAGCTTGATGATGGATTCTTACGTTTGACAAACTTGGGTTTTCACACAACTAGTGACCCTTACCCTGACTGGAACTTTTGCCACGTTTGCTCAGTTGCAAGAAAAGTGTGAACTCCCTTCCCGATTTCTGCAATTCATGTGCACACCCACTTACCTTCTACTGAAAGTGTTTCGCCCTCAGCCTCTATAGGTGCCTTCTCTAAAATGTGAGTCCTGACAGAGAGGTGTCACATTTTAACGATTCATTACAACCTGCCTAACCCACCTCTATGACAGCCATCAAAACTGCATGGGAAAATAAATGAGCTTGGGATGCGGATCCCTGACGGGACCTGGGTAGAGTGCCTTAAAGAGATTAATGCTTGCTCTAGGTGTTGCCGCATTCAGTTTTGGGTTATGCACAGACCGCACTGTTTAAAATCAAAGCTTCACAAGATATTTCCAGACATCTCCTTCACAGTTTGATGAATATAGACAGATACTGGACACAAAATTGTTAAGACATTGAACACATTGAACCTGATCCTGTCTTAATTGCACCGGGAGCTTTGGATTCCACAAAAAAAAAAAAAAAGCACAGCAGCAACCTCTCTCCTATGGTCTGATTAGAACTCAAAAATTAAGTTTGACATTCTGGCAGAAGAAGGAAGTTCCCAAATGAATCAACCAATACACTTCATCTGGAAAGATTAAGATTCTCTCAGAAGAATCGTAATTCAGAAAGATCTGCCCCCCTGTCGGTTACCTAAGAAACAAACCATAGTGGAAAATCCGCATGTGATTGACCGTCTTTGACTGACTTTTTTCTTCTATCACAACCTTTATTGTCATATACTACATATTAAACAGGAAAGGAGAATGGGAGGGTGTATGTGTTTTTTTTTAGGTTGGATATTATCGGTTGTATTCTCTTGGTTTCTTTTTCTTAAATGAAAATGTTCTTGACCTACATCCAGCTATCCATCTATCTATCTATACATACATACATATATTATACATATATATATACATACATACATAAATAATATAAAAGGGATAGTGCAATAGTGTATATACACTGCATCACTGCAGTGTCAAAAGCATTGCTGTTACTTCTTTGATCGAATTTGCAAAGTTTAAGCAACTTTGAGTGAAAATCAGGTCAAATCAGTATTGTTTATTTCAGTGGTATGGAATGTCATGCCCTCGGGGACCAATCAAACTCACTGAGCAGCAAAGTGCAAGGCGGACTTCTTGTCCTTGGACTTGCATGCGAGGCCGACCTGTCCCGCGAGGCCCAGCATGTTCTTCACTGAGTCGTGGATGCCCAGTCTGCAAGCGTAGTGTAGCGGGGTGCATCCCTCATTGTCCTCACAGCTCAGCAATGCCTTCACATTGTTGTGCTAAAGTTTGACACATTATAAACACATTGTATTGGTACAATATAATGCATATTGTACAGTAACAAGTGTATTAAATAATGCACAGATGCAAAAGACTTGAGTATGCTGCGACAGTCATGCACCATAAATGTCACATATTACATAGCCTCTACCACGGCTACAGCTATATAAAACCATCACACCCACACACACATATACTCATATTATATAAATAATAATGCACTGTAATAATACTTGTACTTAAATACAGAGAGCTCACATTCACACACTCTCTGTAAACAACCATTAAATGTAAATGTATCAGCCCTCCACTGTGGCTCATTTTGAAGGCTTTGACATTATTCTAGTTTAAGGTGAAGCTTACAGTGCTTTAAAGTACTATCATCTGGCTTAGTGAGAGGGTAATGAAACTCATCAGCTGGCCTTGAATACATGCAGCTAAGGCTCAAGGCAAATTGATTAAGGACAGTATAGTAATTATATTCCAATCTCTTCATGATATGTTTGCCTAAGCAGCATAATACAGTGCATGTGATGAGCTACAAACAGACTACATTGATTGACAGTACCTGCAGTACTCCCTCTGGGAGGTTTTTCAGACCCTTGGGCTGCAGGATGGCCAGGTGCAGGAAGTTACAGCCGCACCCGTCTTTCACATTCACATTTGCCCCTGAAATGATATTAACATATGCATGAGCGTGCACGGCCGACGTTATCAGGCATTCTTACAAATTACATGAGCATTGCTTGTGGTGAAATACAATACCGCAGCTCACCTTTTGACAGCAGCAGAGACACAGTTCTCCACGCTCCACAGGTCGTAGCCAGCAGCAAAGGAGAGTTTCCCTTACAATCAATGCTGTTTAGGTCTGCACCCTGAGTAGAGAATGTACTAAAGGCTTAATATTAACTCATCAACTACCACAATAATTTCAACACACATTGCTGTAAGTATTGAAAATAAATGAGAAAATGAATCAAAGAGAAAATGAATTTAAACGTGATTATATTAAGTTTTGCACAGCTTAATGTCAGATATGTAGAGTACAGATAATGAAAAGAAATGGACCTTAGATACAAACAAGAGTTGAACAAAATAACAGTTTAATCTTATTTATCCTTGTCATGGTTATAATACTAGGACTAAATAGCTCTTCCCTGCAATACAAAAACAATGCTGTGTCTTTATTTCTTTTACATGAAAGAAGATGGCTGATATTTTTTTTGATCTGTGACCCACAGTTTTAGCGTCACATTACCATATATGTGGTCGTAAAGGGCATATTTAAGACCCTTTTACAAGATTCTCTTTTTAAATCGAGTCCAGTGGAAAGAAAAAAAAGTCAGCCTCGCTTTATTCATACCAAACATTTAACGTTAGCTTAGTTAGCTAGCTAGCTGCAGCTGATCGCATCTGCTGGCAATAGTTGTCGTTTCAACCCAACAAAACTGACAGCAGCAGGCTAGAAATGAGAAGCTGCTTTTGTCAACCTCTGTCTGAAATCAAGAACATACAGTACCTAACAATTTCAAGGGGTGAATCCACTCTCAGTGTGTAAGTTTGTTTCCTGTTGCAGCCTTTTTTTTTAAAAGTATGAGTTGACACAAAATAAACTCAGACTACAGTTTTGCCCTAGCAACACAGTTCTGTTTAAAAGGTCTACAGAGAGCGACAGATGGCCTACAAGCAATGGGTAGCGCTATCAACCTTTATCTAGCCGTGCGGTGTGTTTCAAATGGCAAATATTGCTCAGTGGTGAGAACACACATAGTAAAGTGGCAGAATGAGGAGATCACTAAATGACCAAAGAGAGGAGAAGGAAGTCCTCGGCACAGATGCAAAGGTTGTTGATTAGCCCTTTAATTTGCACAGTTGCAGTATTTATGCAGTTTTCCTATCTTTGATTCAAGTTCTTTCACTTAAAGCAAAAGATTAATAACGCAGCCCGTGATATTGAAGCTGGGATTGTCCTGTGCACAACAGCTGTAGGGTATGTTCGTGTGTATTTGGGTGTGTGTGTGTGCCTTATTTACCAAAGAAATGAGGTACTCTGCCAGCTCTGTGTGGTCAAATACTGTAGCCCTGGAAAAGTAAACACAGTTGTCGTAAACCAGCCACACAACACACGACATTGTGAGTCAAGGTCTTACTAATGCTGTCAGATGTCAAACGAGGTCGATACCATTCTAATTCTGCTTTGTCCGAGTGTGATATAACGACCAGATTTCCCTTTGTGGTTACATCTTTTATCTCCAGGAAAGTAATGGTCCACTTCAATATCGGACTTTAATAACTATAGTTCCTGGTATTCTGGTCACATTCTGCATCAGCACAGACTTAAGTAGAGTAAAGATGATTTCCACGACTGAAATCTGCTTTGTCTGTGGAAAGAAGGGAGCATTGCTGTTGTGTTTTCGCTGTCATGGATGAGACTCACCAGTTTGTTAGGGGTATTTTGCGGCACATTACTATAAGAATAAAAATAAAAATGTAGGACTTTTGTTTCCAAATTTAAAAAAGGAAGCAAACAGCATTACACATGCTCACACGCAATGATCTACCTCCCCCTCCCTTTATCCTTGCATCAAGTCTTACTCTGCTGCTGCCTGTGCCAGCACAAACAGCTTTTAGATAAAATCAATGTAGGAAGCAGATCTTTATTATCATTCTTATTGTCCCCAATTAAAGCTCATTATTCTGCTAGCCATGCCCAAGGTTTTTATATCGATGTTCCTCTTGTTTGTCAGTATTATAGTGCTGATATTATGCAGATGCATTGATCTTTCCACAACACGAGCAAGCCGTTGAGACAGCAGCCACAATTTTTACACATCTACATACAGTAAAAGCAGTGGCACCACACAGTGGTTTAGTATTTGTACTTGATGTTGTGGCGATACAGTAATAGTTTTGGGAGATATGCTTATTTGGTTTCTTGTGAAGAAGATGACCAACATATGCTACAGCCGGCAGCTGGTTAGCTTAGCTTAGCATAAAGACTGGAACCAAGGGGAAACAGCTAGCCTGGCTGTCTGCACAGGTAACATATAAAATATCCATCCATCCATGCATTATCTATAAAGCTTATCCTTGTAGGGTCATGGGGGGGCTGGAGCATGCAAACTCCAGACAGAAAGGCCCCAGGCCCAGTGTTTGAACCCAGAACCTTCTTGCTGTGAGGCGACAGTGCTCATATACAGTAAAATATAATGAACAACATATATATATATATATATATATATATAAAATTGTAAAATTAAAAAAATGAAGTTTTACAGGTAATTATCTACCAAAGTTATATAAATTAGAATGATTTACAATGGTTGGCAGCCTCACAATAATGACTCTTGATGACATCTTTATAGATGTAGTCCAACACGTAACAACCCATGGTTCTGATCTAACTCTCAAGCAAATAAGAATATTTCCTAACATGTCAGACTGTTCCTTTAAGTCCTGAATGTTGAGCTCAAAGTTCAGGTGTAAGTATAGGGATAGGTCAAGCCCACCTGTGTAGAGGGGTCTGACACGCCCCGTCAGTCAGGTTGATGATGTCCTCCACTTGGTCGAAGGAGGAGAGTATCAGTTTGACAACCTCAGTAGCACCCTGGGTGCAGGCCAGATGTAGCGGTGTGGACCTGTCATTCTGGACAGAAACAAACACGAGCGCATTATGTGTAATGAATTATGAATATTCACAAGCTCTTCAACCATGTTTTTGTCTGTTCTATGCAAAGACATAGTGACATACTGTGTTAGACAGAGCAGAACATAAACACACATACATATACACACAGACACACACACACAGAAATTAGTATGCACACAGGCTCTCACATGTACACTTCCCCAGTGTAACATTAGCAAAGTATCTCCCAGACTTGCTGGCTGAACACTGGGGGCTGTAACACAAGCTTTTAATGAGATAACCGGGACTGGCAGGAGGAGACTAGTGATCGCTCCACTCAGCTCCACAGTTTAAATGGAGGTAATTTGTATCAATTTAGCCAACCGATGCTATTACTGCACTCACTATTCCTGCTGTAGCTCTGGCCACTAGCCCAGGGTTAGGCATGAGTATCACTCCCAGATGGGCATGATAAGACTGACATGCCCTAACAGTACAAACACTGATACCCTATGCCAGGGAAATGCTTTACAGGTGTAGGCAAATGAGATCGAGATTTAAAAACAATGCAAATCTGACAAAGCGTAGTATGGACAGATAAAAGGTGAACAGCAGCATTTGTAATCTGTAGCTCCCAGCTGTTAATACGTTTATGACTATGTGATGGAGAGGCGGAGCGGTATGAAAAACAGCCGGCGCTTTGACAACCAAATGAATGTGTGCCCTTCTCGACTGCCATTTTGAAGGATTACGAGAAGTGCAGATTTAAGTGAAAACCAACATCGAGACTTAACATGTACAGTTTTTTTTTTTTTTGTTTGTTTTGTGCCGTCAGTACCTGTTGCTGGTCAACTTTGGCCCCGGTAGCAATGCAGAGGCAGATGGCTTCGATGTTCCCGCCACGAACGGCCAGATGGAGGGGACTGCTTCTGGACTTGTCTAAGTAGTTGATGTGGGCTGCAGCTGAGTGGCCTAACTCCTCCCCTGCAGAGAATAAATAAGCTGTTTCTGACTTGTGAATAATATACTGAAGTCATGTTCAAGGCTCATAATGAAGGTTTCTTAGTTAATGCTTGTTGGTATAAGCTTATTTGTTTTTAATGCTGGAAAGCAATAAAGGACTCCATCTTCTACCTTCCTTCTTTGACTTTAATATTTACGTTTTTTTGCTTTCTTTTGTGACAGGAAGTGATGAGTAATTGTGTTCATTCATGGTGGGCTGTCTGTGTAAATTCCCAAACAGCACAAGAACCCATTAATTTCCTTGCTGAGCAATCACGGAAATATCATAAATATTTTGTGCTCAGACTAAACCTTTCTACAACGACACAAGATTTACCAAGCAGACCTCCCACTGTGGATAAACACACTGTCAGTCTGTGGCATCTGGCCTGTGGACAAAGTAGCACGAACATTTTTCTACTAAATGTCTCTGGGGGCTGAGGTGAACTCTCTTGTTATCTATCAGCTTAATGTGCTGTTTGGCCTTGTGAAAACTTTTTCATTATTGTCAGCACTTTCAATTTTTGATGATAGATCATTCCTTTCGTCATACCGGCCTTCAGGATCACTTCCATTGCTTTCTTTGCACCCGCGAAGGCAGCTGCATGGATGGCAAAATGGCCGAGCTTGTTCTGCTGGCACAGCCGCGCTCCATGCTTTATCTTTGACGGATTGGAGAATGGATGGAGAGGAAGACAAACAGAGACAATTCTTTGTCAGAGACAAAGCTGCAGTGGTCCGGCTGTCAGTTTAAAGCAAAGCTACGTAATCTGTTCTGCACAGATGGACAGTTAACCTTTACAGGAATGTGCAGGTACACACTACGACTGAAAGAAATACATGAGCCTGAAAAGTTTGTACGTACCAATATGCTGAGAGCCTCACAGTTATTGATAGAACAGGCCAGTATCACCGGTGTGTTCCCAAGGTCTCCCTCCAGGTTACAGTCTGTGGCACTGTAAGACACCAGCAGCTGCAGGAGGCAGAGAGGAAAACTTAGCAGCGAGCTCCAGCCTGTCCTTGCAGGCCTTCAACTCTGCTTCCTTCACACCTGCATCCTTTATCTTCCACCATACTGCAACTATGTCAGTTTGTGGACAGCAGCCAGACGCTATGGGGATGACATAACAAGGTCTTTCCAAGTAGAGCGTTGAGTCAGGTTTTGTCGGCTATGTAAACAGTTGTCAGATGACTTAAGACTGCAGTGGCTGCGCAAGTGACAAGTTCATTTAGTATAAAAGATGATATGAAGATTTTTAGCCTACCTTCTTTCTCCTAAATATGAAGTTGGGATAAGGAAAAAAAAAATGTAACACTGCATAATGCTACCTTTTGGCATAATGGGTCTATTAGAGCAACTAAACCACGGTTTGAGAAAGTATGTTAGCTAGTGGGGAAAAAAGTAGTAAAAGCCATGATATTATCAATATCACAATGTAAACTACTCATTTATTGAAAACAAATGAAAATTATATTCTATCAAAGCTGTTTCCTTTGGAGCTTCCTTCGGACCCTCCCTTTCATAAAAACTGCATTAACACACTTTCCCAATAACTAAGAATATTACATTTATAGTAAACATAAAATGACAAAAATTGCATTGAAAGTGAAAAATATCAATATATCAAACAAAATATAAATGCAGCATGAGATTGGTTGTTTTCAGTGCTGTTGCCATGAAATCAACAAATAAAAAAGCACTACTGTGTCATCAATATCTATGCATTAAGCTGTGTAAGTGTACTATGTATATTTAGTTATCTTAAAATATTGAAATATTTGAGGTGTGTGATTTGGGATTTGAATAAATCTAGCACCTTTTCAGTGACATTGCTTTGAGAAAACACAAGAACGAGGAAACACACTCGATTTGAGTTGTTATTTCAGTTGGGCACTTTCCGCCTGCTCACCTCCACCAGGCTGTTGTGGCCGCAGTTGACAGCCAGGTGCAGAGGGGACAGGAGGGCCGCGTTGAGGATGTTGGGGTCGGCCCCCAGGTCCATAAGATTCCTGCAGCTCTCTGCCTTGTTCTTCTTCACTGCCCAGTGTAAGGGCACATTGCCCTGCTCATCACAGCTGTTCAGCTCTGAAAGGACATGAGAACACATGCAAATACACACACATGCAAAAAGATAAAGAGGCATGTACTGCCACCTCCTATATAGATACAATACATAAAAATCAAACACGCTGTTCCATAGAATAACTTAAAGACAGAATTATGGTGATTAACAAAACACATACTTTACCTGTGCTAGAGTGCATCTCATGATCGATGACTGAGGTATGCTTACCCTGTGAGTCTATGACAGTGGTGATGAATTGGATGAGGGTGACGTGGCCGCCTGCGGCGGCATGATGGAGGGGACTGGCTCCGTATTCATCTTTCTCGCTCAGGACCTCTGGGCTCTTCCTCACCAGGTTCTCCAGGAGAGCTAGGTCACCCCTCTCGGTCAACTAGATGGCCATATAGAATATAATAGGAGGGAGAAGAGAAGAGGTCTATCCATGACTTTTTTTTTATTTTTTATTTTTTTATTTCACCACAGATTATGTGATAGTAAGAATAACACTTGTAAATGATGAACAGGCATTAAGAATCACCCTTGTGTGGTTTCTGCTGTGATAGTTGAAATATGATATGACAGATCTTCACTGGCCATTAGCCATTTTTTAAATTTCAGTTTTAAGCAAATACTGCAACTCACGTAACATTATTACACAATACTAGAGCTGTCGTCAGGTCAGCTCTTCACAATGACTTTCTTTAAGGTTACACGGGGAGATTAGATGGGCTGTTACATAATCACTCCTCATATTGTAAATACTTGTAGAGAAAGGAAATCACTTCTTAAAATGCCTTTTGTGCACATTTGTGGTTTGTCATACATACATTTCTTTGTATACGTTTGTTTTACATATAGTTTGGTGTCAGCTTCACCTCGAATACATTTAGGCTTGCCAGGGCTGGATCCTCATCTTCTATCACATATGTATAACAGCTGGTCTGTCGGGCCACCTCCCTGCTGAAGTTCATCACTTAGGAGACTCTCAGTAGAGACGAGCCCTCACGAAGAGTGACGGCAATGGCACGTTTCTAGACATAACCACATACACACATGACTGTATGAAATGCAACGGAAAAATGCAGAAATGGAAAACAAATCCACCATCGTTTCAATCAAGTCATACGACTGAGCACATAAAACCTGCTTTACAAGCCAGAAAAACATAGTGTGTTATGTGACGGAGAGGACAGATAACGCCTTAAGCCAGATCCTCTTGCCATGAGGGGATACGGGCACAGATGACTTTGTCTTTACCCAGAAGGGCATTCAGATCCGCCGAGTGTTTGGAGGTTGAAGCCCTTCTGTTGAAGAAAGCAATTATGTTCTTCACAGCTGGGGGGAAGGGGGGCTGCTTGTTTGAATCAGTCCCAGGTGTCCTTGCGTGATCCTGGGTGAGCAAGATTGAGAAAGACCTTGTAACTGTATTGTATGATGATCCTCAGTCACATCAAAAGGCCAAACAGCAAATGACTTTTTTGGTGGGCAATTTACTATGGAGAATTCTCATTGGAACCCCCCCCCGACCTTATGCAGAATCATTCCTTTAGTGTATACTGTGACTGACCGAAGTAGTTTCTCAGGTCAAAGCAGCGGCAAAGTTTTATCTTTTGTGGATAGGAATCATTTTGAGGAAATTATGTAAATTAATTTTGCATTTCTGTACAGCTATGTTCAAACATTTAAGCAATATCACATGGGTCAGTTCACCTGGACGGAGGTTCCAAACAGGCCTTTACCGGCTCTTTTAAGGTGAACAGAATGACTCACTCCTGAGATTCATCATTAACTCTAAGAATCAATCAGTTCACTTCTCTTCAGGCTGCTGTACAGATTAGTGATGGATTGTTCTGACCAGTAAATGAAGAAAAAGAACCACAAACTAAAAACTGTAGCTATTACTAGAACCTGTGGTCTGGAGGTGTTTGCACCAGATATGACATAGGTACACATATACAGTACATGTATGTAGACTTTTGTTACAGATGTAGAAGTTCTGCTGAAGAAGACTCGAAATTGCAATACAATATAGTTCACCCTCGTATTCCAAAAAATTTCCACAATGAGAAAACACTTCCATTATGATGCATCAGTATTTAAGTACATCTTATACTTTGATCAGGCTCGCTCTTAAGACGTGACCACACTGTAAAATAAATAAAGACTCAATAGAATACCCAATACAGAAGAGCAAATATGATCTGAGAGGTATTTGTAAGTTTATTGTACAAAAAGCTAAAAAAAAAAATAAAAAAAAAAAGGATTAAAAGGAGATTCATTTCTATTGTTTGGCTTAAATTATAGAACATTTTAAAAATGTATAATTGCTTTTGGTTTTCAAAAGAATGATCTGCATATCTATTTTTGAGGTTTACAAATGTGAATGATTTCCTTTTCTTAAATTATGAAATGCTAATATAAATTATAAAATGTGTAATTTTGCTTACTTTTTGCTGGGTAGCTTAAATTGATTAGAATATAGGCAAGCATATGTAAGCATTTTGCTTCGGCCTGAGCCGGTTCAGTCACTACTTAAATACATAGACCGTTGACTTTGTTTTTTTTTGCTGTCTATATTGTTCATATTGACTGTATTATCCGATGACTGAATAAACACTACTACAGTCTACACCTTATTTCACATCCATTATAGTACGAGTACAGCTTCATATTGCAGTGCAAAGTGGACAGGGTGGCCTAATTTTCTTCTAATTTGGTGACAAAGACCCATTGTCTGTCTGCATCCTCCCTATCATTTCCAAGCATCAGCGGTAAATAAGAGTTATTTGTTTTTGTAATTGAGCCTGCCACTGATCTGCTTGCAGAAGCCATGTGTGACGGAAGTGCACTAATGGACACTGGTAAACACATTTCCTTAACAGAGGAAGATAAAAAGAAAATTAAATTAAAACAGTGACTTCCTCACATCCAAGGAATTTGAATATTAAACAGTATACAGTGTTATTATTCACATTTATGGAATACATGTTTGATTGTAGGCTATAATTTAATTGGAAAACTTAATTACCTTAAAATGCCAGCAATGACCAGTCAGAGTTTAATAATAGATGTGTTCTTATTTTTTGAGGCAGAATAACTAAAATCAAATTCAGAGTGGCACAGCTGACTATTAGATTATGATCATAGTTAGGATCATGGAACATAAAAGGCAAAAATGTTTATAAAACGTGTGGTATAAATCGTGGAATAAATGATTAACTCAAATGAGTAAAGTACATATTTAATGAAGAAGTTTGTTGCTGTGTTCAGTGTGCACACTTGTTGAATGTAACTCACACTCTACATCAAATATGTTTAATAAAATTTACATTTTAAAAGGCAAACACCAGCTAAACGTTTAAACTGAAACACATTTTCCACAATGAAAAGAACTGTCAGCATTAGAAATATCCCTAATATTTTCACTTAGCTTCACTGTTTTTGATAAATATGCAGTTAAGCAGAAACACTGAAGACAAAGTTGAAGAGGTGTACTTACTGTATTTCTGTGATGCTGCTGTTGAGCTGAGTAAACTGGATGTTCTTCTCACCACTGCATTAGGGCTTTAAGTAGTGTGGGGAGTGAGCTATTTCCCAGTCTGTCTCCTAATGCATGCAAGACAGGACGCTGCCCCCTGTGACCAATTGACTCTCATGATGTCTTCATATAGGAACAGATAAACCCATCATGAAATTTGATAGGAAAAATTACTGGCAGCAACACATTAAGCAGCAAACACTGTCTCCCTGACAATACGTTAATGTACCTAGATGAATGAGGAAAGATTTTTATTCTTGTAAAAAATAATGGTGTAAAAGTGGCTTTTTTTTCCATTTTGTGCTTATATCTACAAACTTGACACTTTATTCCCACTGGAAGAAGCAGAGGACGTGTTTATATCCAAAACAGCCTTTTCCATCATTTCAAATTTCCAGGCCTTGCTTTACTATTGTTAGTATTTGTTTTGCTGTCTGGCAAGGCTCCATGACATTTCCAACAAACCAAAGAAACAACCTGCCCACTCAGCTGCATATTACATATGGTATACCATTTATCAAACCATTACTCTGTAGGAGAAAACTATTTACTTTACTGCCTGTGTTAGAGATAAGGCCCATTCTGCTGCATACACTCAAAAAGCATGTGACTTTTGACAAGATAGAATGAAGACAACCTCTAAGACCTCCTTGTTGATCGTGGGGATTAAGGAATATTCCTCAGGGAATCTTTATCAGGCAGGATTATCAGATAAGGTATATCATTAACTAAGGATTATACAAGCATTTCTACCAGCATGGTCATCAAGGGAATAAGTATTGTGTGAGACTGGTCTTTGACAACATAAAATGTATGTTCGATCTCCCTTGCGAGCAGTACTGAATTTTAAATCATATTTTTAAAAAGTAAGTTAATACCACACAAGAATAAATGAGCCACTCAGTCTGAGAATTACAGGAGAAAAGTTTATTGTATTTTTTAACATTTTTTAGCCATGATGATCTCATTTCAAATGATGCGCTGGCAACAAGTGGCAGCAAGTCCACGTAGCTCGTAGTTTTATTGCAATATATTTGTATATATTAGTATATTTTTTGTCAATTGATGATATTTTTTTATCCTACATCGTTGTTTCGTCTGACGATAGAGAAAATAACGTACACAAAGGAAGAACTCCTGGCTTTAAGTGTACCAGATATGGAGTTAAACATCCCATACTGGCTGAGCTGAAGAAGCTGTACCGTGGATGCAGAGCCGGGGCTAAGCTAAAGGCTAGGAGATGGAGATATGAGCCTTTTCTACTATCGATGATCGACTGGAGGCACTTGTGAAGAACCAGCGACCATATCGTAAGTGTAGTCTCATGTGTTTCACAGAGACCTGGTTAAACGACAACACTCCCGATCACAGTGTGGATTTGCCCGGCTTCACTGCAGTACGAGTGGACGGAGACGCCAGAGCAAGAGATTTTAACCATGTTGCTGTCACCTCTCACCTGACTGGCTTCACTCAGTATGTTGACTGTCCCCACAAGGGAAAATAAAACACTTGATCTGTTGTATGCAAATGTCAAGGAGGCCTACACTGCTTCAGTTCTACCACCACTTGGCAGATCAGATCATAATCTGGTTTTTTTTCAGCCTTCCTACAAGCCTTGTTTACTGAGGCAGGATGCAACCACCTGCTCATTCAGTAACTGGACCCCGGAGGCCAGTGAGTCTCTAAAAGACTGTTTTGAGTGCACAGACTGGAATGTCCTGTTGGAGCCACAGGAAAATGATAACAACAAGGACCCTGACCTCGATAGAATGGTTGAATGTACCACAGACTACATTAACCTCTGTATGTACACTGTAATACCAGCAAGGACTGTACACTACTTTCCAAACAACAAACCCTGGATCACCAGTAACATCATGACCCTACCCAGAAATAGGAGGCCTTCAGGGAAGGAGACAGGGAGAAGCTCAGGTGTGTGCAACATGAGCTGAAGAGGAGATTAAAGCAGGCGAAGGAGGACTACAAAAAGAAAGTAGAGAGGAAGCTGCAGCACAACAACACCAGAGAGGTGTGGAAGGGGATGAGGACCATCACTGGCTATAAAGAGAAGAACTGCCAGGCAACATCAGGTGATGTGGAGAAGGCCAATGAGTTCAACCTGTTCTACAACAGGTTCGACATAGCCTCACCTGTTCTCTCTCCCACTGCTTCAGCTGCAGCTTCACCTACGGCATCTCCTCCACAACCTGACACTGCAGCTGCAACTCCCTGCACACTGGGGTCAAGTCTCCTGTCCTTTACAGTGGAGGAGGTGAGGTGACCGGCTGAGATAAATGACTACAGACCGGTGGCCCTCACATCACACATCATCAAGACCCTGGAGCGGCTGGCCACAGGTTAAACATGCACTAGACCCCCTACAGTTCCCCTACAAAGAACATATTGGAGTGGATGATGCCATCCTTTACATGC